TCACTCTCTCTCTAAAATAAATACATCTTTAAAACAAATTTTTTCATCATATTTTGGGATTGGGAAATGTTACTCCAATACTAGGATGCCTGAGAAGCCTGTGAAAAACACTGTGTTTCATTGTTTGCAGAAGTCTTGGCCAAGGTTAGCAGCCACCTGTGTCACAGCTTGTACTTGAGCTGCAGGCCAGCACTTGCTGCCCTGCAGGCTCCAGGAGTGGTAAGCACTCCTCCTTGGTGAATGTAACTGGCATTGTAGTTATGGTCTATTCATGTGAACAATATCTCTCTTCCCTTGGCCAGAGCTCCAGGAAGTTGATAAGTAGCTGCAGAGTTGCGTTTTCCCTGACATTGACCAATGGGATAGGTATGTGGTCTTTGCCATTTGGGATTGTCTCCTCCTATCTGAGCATCTGTTGTCTTGCCTGAGACACTGGGCATTTAAAAAAAAACTCCTGGGAGTGGATTGTCCTTGATGACTGGGTGAAGAATCCATGGCCAAGGACTGGGAAATAGCACGCTAGACCAGGGTTTTTCCACTCTGGCACTTTTGGCTTTGGGGGCTGGATTGTTCTTTGTTGGGTAGGGGGAGGGGTTCTGTGCAATGTGGGATGATTAGCAGCGTCGCTGGCTTCCATCCACCTCATGCCACTGGCACTCTCTCAGTGTGGGAACCAGTGTATTTCCAGGCATCACCCAGATGTCTGGGGGAACAAAGTCACCCTGTCTGGGAACCCTTGCCTTAGAAGATGAGACTCTCTGTCCCTTGTAGATATGACAGCTGTGGAAGTGGTTGGGGAGGCAACCCCTGGATGAAGACCCCTAACTTAGAGCAAGAGACTGAATGAAGGGCAGAGACAGGAGAAATGTGTCAGGCAGGTAAATGGAGGCAGTAAGGGGTGAGGGCTCTAGGCGAGTAGTAAATGACAGTGGTGAGAAGGGAGGGTGGGTGCAGGGCTCTGAGGCTGAGGGGTGCGGTGTGAGCTTCTGTCCAGTAATAACTGGGAGGAGTGTGTTAGCCAGAGGCTGGTCTCCTCTCCAGAGGGAGGCACTCAAGCCTTCCACCGTCCCTCTTCTGGGATCAGCCTTGAGCGCTTAAGTACTCTAGATCCTCTTAAGTATGTCAGTGCTTTCCTCCTGACCTTGTGGGGAGAGGTATGTGAATCTGTCAAGTGGGTTAAGCTCCTTGGAGAGCGATTGCAATTCTTTGATCTTTATTCACTCAATAGACACTTAGCAGGTACCCACTTGGGGACGGGCTGTGCCAGGCACTAGGGACCCCACCAGTCAGACCAGGACTGCATGGTCTGGCCAGGGAGACGACTCAGCCAGCACAGGCCACCCCAGAAGGAGAAAGGAGGAGGGCCCTATTGTCAGGCTGCCTCTCGTCAGGTTCACATCCCACCTGTGTTCCTGCCTCCTCTGTCTCCTTTGGCCTCGGTGTCCCAGTCTGTGAGATGGAGTAGTGAGAATTCTTACCCCAATTGGGCACGGAGGGACTGACGTGCGAGAACGTGTCCAGCCCGTACATCAGTGCCTGGCATTAGTGAGCACTCAGTGATATTGCCATCATTATTGTTAACGATTTATTATTAAAACTCCTACATAAAGTCTGTAGTAGAGCGCCCAGAAAATTCTGAGGGACAAGTGACCAGAGATTCACGTGGCTTTTTTGAGCTGGGTCTTAAAGGATTAGTGGGACTTTATCAGGAAAAGCATTGTGGAGTTGTGGAAAGATCACGCACTAAGACACGGGCAGGAAGTCACAGATTGTGAGCAAGGCAGCACGGCTTAGAGGGGACAGCTGCTGGCCATGAGATCAGGAGGCTCGGGCAGGGGTGGGCCGTCAGGCTGGGAAGGAAGGTGCCTGGGGCCGCTGGAGAAGGGACTTGGTATGAACGGACCTAAGTGCCCAAACCCTTTGGCTTGGATGTGCTTCATTTGTTCTTTCTTTTCTCCAGAACGGATTAGGAAGAACTTGCCATTTGAATCCCACTCTCCTTTCCCTGAGCAGTAAAGTGCTAAGCTCACCAGGAGGCATTATTGAGCCTTTGGAGACTGAGAAGCAAATCCGTCTTGCTGTCCCCGTGCTGTCATATATGGGGTGGGGTGGCACACAGGGGGACACGGGCGGCCACTTCACCTCAGGAGCCCGGCAGACGGAGCATGCCCTCTCTTGTCTGGGCGCCCTTGGGCCTTTCCAGTTATGTGACCGCTCTGATGGCGATGGTGTTACTGTCTCCTCACCGGAGCTCGCAGAGGAACAGATCATCCAGCCAGACTGGGGTCATGATGGATTTCCCAATTCTCTCTTTTCGGCAGCTCACATGCTGCCTCAGGGCAGGGGCTGAGAACCATCCTGGCAGACGTGCTAATAACCGGGGCATCTGTGCCAAGGAGCGGCGTGTTTATTTCTCCGGAACCTGTGGCACCGTGCCTGAGGCTTTGCTGAATCAGCCTGGTGCCGTCTGGCGTCCCCCAGATGCTCAGACCTCAGTTCCAAGGTCACAGGTGTCCCCTGGAGGGCTCTGGCTTTTGCTTCACCACTCTCTGAAATGTCACACAGTGAATATGTACTTCCTGAACACTTGCTAGGCCCCCCAGGGGCAGTTATGAATAAGAAAGATGCCATCCTTGGCTTTGGGAAGCATATATTCTTATAGGAGAGACAGACACTGAATAAACCATGGCAAGTGGTGTGGATCAGGGCTAGGAAAGGGCTACGTCCAGAGTCACAATGCTATGGAACAGCGAGAGGAAGCTAGTCTTGGTTGGGGGGGTGTGACAAGGTCAGGAAAGGCCTCCTAGGAAAGTAAGATCCCCTGATATCCGAGAATGCTTGGGGCTGGGGCAGGGTGGAGTGGTTGGAGGGACCTCCCTCACCAAGCTGCCTCATGGCTGAACCCAGCAGTCTCCTCCATGAAGTGTTTCCCCCTCCCGCCCGCCCACTGCCTTTGACACTGTTGCCTTCTCTCTCTTTCTTAAATTCTTTTCCTCCCTCTCCCTTGTTTTCAGACTACTCTTTTGTCCCCTTTGCTGGCTTCTCTTGCTCCCCAGGCATAATTCTGGCCTTCCCAGAGTATGGCCTTGCTCTCCAAAGCAGTAGACAGTGGTGGTGAGAAGCCAGGCTTGGAGGAGGCCAAGCTGGCTGGGTCTTAGCCCCTGCTTTTCTCCTTATGGTCCCACAACCTTAGACAAGCAAGTGACTAAGGGCTCCACATGTTGGTATCCTGTCCATAAAAGAGGTTCCTTTACCAGGCCATTCTGAGAACTGCAGTGATACCTATACAGCACTTGGTGAAAGGCCCTTGTGTGAGTCAAGGTTACAAAATCCTTTCTCTTTCATCATCAGAAACTGACTCAGTTCCATTCACCTTCTGTTTTTCCCTGGAAACCTGATAAATATGGAAGGTCAAGGTGTCACCTGGCCACAGATCTTATGGGAAAGCTGACCCCTGCTTGGTACATTGAATCTGGCCAGGGTTCTCTGTATGACCTTTAAATAACCTGATGAGGAAGCCATGGGTTTGGGCTTCCAGAGTGTGGTGTCTCCTTGCAGGGACCTCCTTGCAGGGATCCTAGAAGCTCCATCTGTGGGGCTGTTACAGGAGTGTTGGCTCCTGTGGGGCCTGGGACCAAGGTGGCTCTGTTCCCAGACAGCTTACACCTGGGAGGTGACCTCATCTGTCATATGAAAGGATTAAACCCCTCCAGCTCTAAGATTTTGTCAGTTCATTCACTTAAAAATATCCATTGAGGGGTGCCTGGGTGGCTCAGTCATTTAAGCCGCTGCCTTCGGCTCAGGTCTTCATCCCAGGGTCCTGGGATGGAGTCCCATATTGGGCTCCTTGTTCAGCGGGGAGCCTGTTTCTCTCTCTGCCTCTGCCTACTGCTCCCCCTGCTTGTGCTCTCTCTCTCTTCTGACAAATAAATAAATAAATAAAGTATTAAAAAAATATATATCCATTGAGAGCCTTCCATTGGATAGGCACTGAGAACACATTGTTGAACAAAGCAGATTCATTCTGCGCTCCGAAGGCACTGATAGTTCAACCGGGAGAGGCTGTCAATCAGAGAGCGTCACAGGTAGTCGTACAACAGCATTTTGATAATGTGTACCTTGTGTCATAGGAGATTTGACCTAGTCGGAGAGGTCAGGGAAGTCTTCCATGAAGAAGGCATGATGGAGCTGGGATCTGAAGGATGAACAGGCATTAACCAGCAAAGAAAGGGAAAGGGACAATTCCAGAAAGCGAGAACAGCAGAGGCAAAGGCTTTGAGAGGGGATTGGGCCAGGTGGAGAGAATGAGGGCTGGGAGAACTATGGGGTCCGGCTGAGAGTCAAACCATTTAGTGATCTCGTGCAGCCATGGGCATGGCCAGTGAGAGCTGGTACCTAGACAGTCATGTGCTGTCATTTTATTTCCTCCTCCTTCTTAACAGCAGAGAGAAGCCAGTCAACGCAGGTTTGGGATGTGTGTCTCGGGAAGACTGCATTCAGAATTTGAAAGCTGATTCTGGCTCCAGGATGCTGGAATCCGGTGTGAGGGGAGGGAAATTTTGAAGGAACTTTAAGTGGAAAGGTTTTTTTTTTTTTGGAAAAGGAAGCCGACGGTGTGGGTGGGCTTTACAGAGCATCAGTGGGGATTAGCAGCAGGAGAGGAGAGTTTGACCTTTAATTTCAGAGGCCACGGGCTGCTCAGCTTGGCTTTCCACCCCCACTCTCACCCCCATTTTTGGCTTCCATGACCCCGAATCACTCTTTTATGTTGCCAAATTACAGACTAAAGGAAGATGGGTGTGAAGTTGAAACGGGACAGAGGTTCCTAAGCACAGCCCAGCCACGAGAAGAAACCTTCAGGGCATTCATAAAGCTAGATCAGGCCACAAATCAGCATCTCTGTTGCTTGGAGAACTGCTTTTGGCATTGAAAACAGACATTTTCCATCAAATAGGTTGAAAGAAAATCACATTTCTCTTTTTTCTCCCTTTTCCCTCCAGGCTTATATTTGGCACCCTTTACCCTGCATATTATTCCTACAAGGCTGTGAAATCGAAGGACATTAAAGAATATGTAAGTAGCACTTATTGGTGGGGTCCCGATGGTCTTGGAGAAGCTGGGTGTGAAGTAGTGGGAGGAGGAGGATGGCCTGTGGTGCAGGCACTGGTAGCAGGGCAAAGGAACCCTTCCTTTACCTTTCTTCTCATGAGGCTTGCCTCATTTGGTCCAGGAGTCCTCCCCATGTCTAGACCCCTGCAGAACCAGAGAAATGGAAGGGAGATATGGCAAAAGGAAATGGAATCAGGGATCACAGGCCACGCAGGCTGCCACATACCACTGTATGGCCTGAGACAAATGACTTTACCTCTTTGAGCCTCAGTTTCCTTGTCTAGAAAACACTGTGTAGACCACGGTTACTGGGAGATGGTCCACCACAGGGCCCTCCTGCCTCTGTGACTTTGGTGATGATTCCCATTCCAGTTGTGTGACCTGAGTACCCCGTGATTTAAACTCTGTTGCTTTATAAGCTTTTCAAGAACAAGAGCTGGTCATCGTCTTTCATCCGATTCCCCAGCACCCAGCGGAGGGCTGAGCATGTAGGAAGGGAATCTGGAGTACTTACAGTTGAAGGATTGTATTGTTGCTGGATGGTTCCTCTAAGCAGGAGAATCATCAGACACCTGCATGGGGTGGCTGATGAGGAAAGGATGTCCAGGTCATGTGGGACAGAAACCCAGGTCAGACTACAGAGGATGTGGATTAGGGCATCAGGAGTCTGAAGTCAAGTGCGGGCTCTGACATTTGATGGATGATATACTGGACAAGAAGTTTAACTTCTGGGCACGTGGGTGGCTCAGGTGCTTAAGCATCTGCCTTCTGCTCAGGTCATGATCCTGGAGTCCTGGTATCAAGTCCACATCAGGCTCTCTGCTCAGCGGGAAGCCTGCTTCTCCCTCTGACCCTCTCCCCTCTCATGCTCTCTCCCACTCACTCTCTCTCGCAAATAAATTAAAAAAAAAAAAAAGAAAAAGAAAAAAGAAAAGAAAATAGCTTAACTTCCAAGAACCTTGGTTTCCTAATCAGAGGGGTGGATATCAGCAATCCTGGCCCCTAGTGTTGTGAGGGACAAAGGGTCTTTGCTTTCCCTCTTTTACTCAGAAGTCATTTTGGAAGTTTGCCACAGGTAAAGAAATAAAGTGTATCTGAAAGTCACTTTCTTTCTCAGATTTTCCAGGATGTGTCTTTATGATGAAAACCAGCCACCTCCAGGTCAACTGCAACAGGAACTCACCCCCTCATTCCCTCAGTTTCCCTGAACTGCTTGCCTGGGCTTGCATCTGCTAAGCAGGGCATCTAGACAGGGCTGGGTTCTCTGGAGACAAGGTCCCTGGTATATCTGAGGGAATCTCAGTGTGAACTATAAGTGGCTGTTGAGTTGCAAGCACACAACCTCCTGGTTCTCTACTGGCTTGGCACAGGGGTAAAGCAGGAGGCAGCCTCTCCCACAGTCTTTCTCCCGACCCCTTCCAGCCACGAGTGCAGGGAAGCTGTGCCACGTAAGGAGGCATAATTGGGGTCATCGTGGTTCAGGGTCTGATACTCCACTTTGCAGGGGCAGAAACTCAACTCTGTCAGCTCATCTAGGAGAAATCAGACCCTGGTAAATTGTTTCGGTCTGACCAAACTCACAGGAGCCTGGTTTAGGACTAAAATGGCAATTCATTAATTTAGACTGAAAAATATAACTGACAAGCAGAGCAGCTGTTTGTGCTGGCTGGTGAGCATGAGTTTTTTTCAGTAGGGAAAGCTTGAGAGTTAAGATTAGAAGGTTTCTTGGTAAAAATGGAATTGAAAGAAAGGAGCTGAGTCGTATGAGAAGAGATCTGCCTCCTTTTCCTGTACTTGCTCACACGCACGCACACTCTCACTCACTCTGTCACACATGCTCTCACGTGCTCTTGCACGCACCCTTACACATGCTCTCCAACACTTTCTCACACTCATGTGCTCTCACACACGTTTTCTCATTCACACAGCCATAACTCACTCACATGTGCTCTCACACACTCACACTCACATATTCTCTCACACATGTTCTCCTACTTACACACCCACACACACTTCTACACTCACATGCTCTCTCACTCATATATGCTCTCACTCTCTCACACTCTCACACACATCTCTCACTCCCACACACTCACACGCTCTCTCATTCAGACACACGTGCTCTCCCACTCCCACACTCTCTCACACATGTTCTCCTGCTTACATAACCCACACACTTCTCACACTCACGTTCTCTCATTCACCCTTACGTAGTCTCACACACAACACTATCTCTCACACATGTTCTCTCACTCTTACACTCACATGCTCTCTCACACACACACACTCTCACACTCACACATACTCTCACATGCACTCTCGCACACATTCACACTCACCATTACACTGGCCTCTTTCCCTCATTTTGACCATTTGTCCAAGAGAGAAACAGGGAATTGCCTTTAGCTTCTGTCTGGCCCTCCCCACCCAACCCTATACACACCCCTGGTTCCTGACTGTGTCCTTCATCTCTATCCCCTTAATGGTCCTTCAAACCAGGTCTCTCCTCCTGTGCTGCCACTCTCTTAAGTGTTGTTCTTATCAGGTTTTTCCTGGAATGTTTCAGTAGCCTCCTGTATTTGTTTTCTGTTACCCCTGTAACAAATTACCATGAACTTAGTGCCTTAAAACACACAAAGATATTATCTCCCAGTCTAGAGGTCAGAAGTCTAATGGGTCTCACTGGGCTAAAATCAGGCAGGGCCACATTCCTTCTGGAGACTCTAGGGGAGAATCCATTTCCTTATATTTTGCAGTTCCTAGAGGCCATCTGCATTCCTTGGCTCCTGCCCCTTCCTCCGTCTTCAGAGCCAGGGTAGCATCTCTGAGCTTGCTTCCACAGTCTCATTTCACTTAGATGACAGCCTCTTGGTGACAGCCAAGTTCACATCACAGGAAGGCTCTGGTTAGGAAGTTGCTGCGGAGGTCCCCACCAGGGACACTGGCTGCCAGCTGTCTGTGCCTTTGGAACATTCCCTGCAGATTCAAAATCCTAAATACAAGCATTTGACTTTTTTAAGCCTATATAACTGGCCTTGTGTCCCACAAAGATCCTTATGCTAGAAGACTGTCCCCAAATTAAATGGCATTGGACGTTGGTAGTAAAAACAAATAAATATAGATACAGATATAGATTATATCTGTTATATCTTTGGCTGCTCAGCACCCACATCCACTCCTTTGACCATATTTTGGCTTTAAAAAACTTTCCAACAAGAATTCTGTATGATTTATGTACTTGGTAAATCCAGTTTTTTTCAGCTGAATCCAGCACCAGTCCAGTATCTCTGGCAAAGACCTCTCCTCCTCTGGCTCTGATCTTAATATTCAGCACTCTAAAAATTAAATTGTCAAGTGAACCATCACTGACATATCCCTATAGTATATAGACATATGCTATATGAGGGCGAGAATGGGAATACATAAAAATAAAACTAGTTAAAATATTTAAATCTATACATGATACAGAAAGGAAGAAAATATGGATAGAAGTTATAGTTCTTAGTCATGCAAGTAGTCTTGAGTTCGTAGCTGGTATTCATGTCTTTTGTTAAAAGATGATTTTTTAAAAGGGTCAAATCATGACTCTTGTACAAAAACAAAGTTGACACATGTTGAAAGTTTTACTTAACTCATAAATTAATAAGGGAACCAATAAAGGTGTTTAAAAAAAAATTCAAAAGAGACTCCAAAGAGCAGATGTATCTAAGAAATCAGGAACGATTAAATGAATTTGTTAATAGATATTTAGCTGATTTTGGAGGAGGGTAGGGTGATCAATTGCACCTCCATTGGACAAAATTTATTTGCACCTCTAGACAAAATCATTTGCATTGCAGTCAGTTTTCTGTAACTTAAAAAGTTGTAAAATAGTTCAAAGATACTGAAAAACAAGACACCTATAGAAGCAAGATAATTCAGAAGGAGGCTCTGGACAGCATCTAGCATTCTACAGATCATCCATTCTAAACTCTTTCACAGTTTTTCCTATTACTTCCCTCATCTACCATCTAATTCATGTTCTTTTTGTCTTCAGTTAGAGCTTTAGTGAGTGGGATTCCTTACCCAGGGCTCTGGCCTGAGTCTTCCTTTGTGGGGAGCCGGAGGCCTTAGCAAAGGTCTTGCCTGTGTAAGGTTGTAGTGATGATCCATTGACTCTCACCTCTGAGCAAGGCGGTACTCACTCACACAAGGGATCCCACCCAAATCCCTCCAGAGGCTCCTTAATTCCCATCTACCCTCCTTCCTGCCACATTGTGTAGCAGCAACCCTGTTCCCCCCTGGTAATCAGGATCAGTTCCCAGAGACATCTATTTCCTAGAGACATCATGGTCCTGAAATGGCCAGGTAGGAGTGTCGTTTCTGCTTCCACATCACTGGAATCATTTTGTATCCCTGGTGAAAGCACCCACCCTTCAGGTACTGTAAGAATTAAACAGCAGAACTCAGAGATTTAAAGGTAAAACACAAAAATGTTGTGAGTCTGTTAGACCAGTGATTCTCAAACTGCAATGTGCACATAGAATGGCTAGAGGATTTTATTAAAATGCAGGTGCTGATCCATTAGGTCTGGGGTGAGTTCTGAGATGCTGCATCTCTAAGAAGCTCCTAGGTGATTCCAGTGGTGCTGGTCCACGAACCACAATTGGAGTTGCGCGAAGCTGGCAGTAGGCTTACCCATAAGCAACACCACTCTCAGTTCCTTGGTCCCTGAACCTTTAGATTCTGGCTAAGCTGCAGAAGCATGTGTTGCTTCCTGGTTCACGGAAGAAACTGCATCCTCCAGGTCAATGCCTCAACCCCAGAATGCCGACTCTCTTTCGGAACTCTCCTATAGCTGTTGCAACACTTTAAAGTCCGCTGTCTGGGGCGCCAGGGTGGCTCAGTGGGTTAAAGCCTCTGCCTTCGGCTCAGGTCATGATCTCAGGGTCCTGGGATCGAGCCCCGCATTGGGCTCTCTGCTC